CGTCGTCGTGGGGTGAGCGACGGAGTAAGGCTGAGTGTGCGGCGCGATTCGGCCCCACGCCTGAACAGTTGGCGGAGGAGGCTGGCCGCCTCCACAGGGAGGATGAAGAGGCCAAGGAAACGAATCGGGCGGCCAAGCAGGCTAGCCGCTGACGCTCCTTGGGGCTCTCTCTCTCTCTCTCTCTCTCTCTTTCTCTCGCTACCCTCCCTGCTGGTGGCGTAAGTGGCCGGCGCCCCCGAGAGCGCCACCCAGCGGGAGGGGTCATCTTCTTTGTGATGGCTGAAGTGTGTCACTGACCTCCTCCGCCATGGGAAATAAACATAGAAATAGAGGAGGGAGGGAGGGGGGAGGCAGGGAGGGAGGAGGAGGAGGGGAGGAGGGAGGGAGGGAAAAGGAGGAGGGAAGGAGGAGGAGTGAGGAGAGAGGGAGGAGAGGAGCACAGGCCAGGGCTAGCGGCCAGCCGATCGGAGCTGACGCTAGGAGGGTGGAGCGAGGAGGAGGAGGATGAGGAGAAGGAGAGGGAGGGCTAGCGTAAACCCACGACCCGTCCACGATATTGCAATACGCCCTCCCTCGAAATGCCCCCTTCATAAGCCCAATACTTGGATTCACTCTCCCTGAGAGAAGCGCCCCGTTGGAAGACAATCGTTTTAAAGTCCTGAGCTGACGCCGCGAATCACAATTACTGCTGCGTCTTGACGATCCCGACTCGTGCCAGAACACCAGTCCTGGGACGTCAACACCGCGAATCAACGTCCGTATTGCGTCTTGACAGTCCGGCACCGTGCCAACACACCATGTATGGGACAATCGCTATATTTGAAACGGCTGGGAACTCTGAAAACGAACGCGCGTGGCGCTAAAACTAACGCCACACTGTGAGAAGTAGCCGCCCTCCAGCTGAATCTCTTGCACATTGTTGAAACGAATGTGCGCGGCGCTATTGCGAGAACCACATGTTGAAAACCAGCCGCCCTCCATCCGTGAAAGCCTTGCATCATTTCAAGACGAATGCGCGCGACGCTGGGGCGAGAACCACATACTGAAAATGGCACACCGTCCATCAGTGAAGCTCGAGCATGCTTGGTTAAGCAGATGTGCGCGGCGCTAAGGCGAAAACCCCATTTTGAAAGCGGCCTGTCCTCCATCTGACAAACTCTTGCCGATTATTAAAACGATCGCACGCGGAACTAAAGCGAGAACCAAACTTTGAAAGCGGCCCGCCCTCCATCCGTGAGACGGTTGCAGCTTTCAGGTTTCAAAATCATAAGTGGTGAGGAAGTCTCAGGCGGAACGCCTGGCCCGCCCTTTCGACCCGCCTCGGGGTGCGGCAGGGAGGAACAACTGATGAGGAAACAAATCAGAGATGGGGCAGGGGGGAGGAGGACGGGGAGCAGGAGGAGGGGAGGAGGAGGAGGAGGAAGAGGAGGAGGAGGAGGAGGAAGAGAAGGAGGATAAGGAGGAGGCGATAAGAGGGACGATGGGGAGCGGGAAGGAGGGCGACGAAGGGGGAGGAGGGGGAGCAAGGAGGGGGGAGCAGACCGCGAGCCGCCAAGCGCGAGCAGCGCTGCGCCCCTCGCGGGCCCCCATGGGAAGAGCGCGGCGGCCGAAGCTCGCTCGCCCCCCCCCACCAGCGCCACGGAAGCGTCGGTCTCCCCTCCTCCTCATCCTCCTCGTATTGTTCGTATTATTCTTCTTGTGAGTAGTATGCACAATCTTCTTATTAATATGCTTATGATTCGCCCTCTTCTTCCTCTTTGTCTTGTTATTCCTCTTCTTCCGTTCAGTATTACTAGTATTCCTCCTCCTCCTCCTCCTCTTTCTCCTCCTCCTCATCCTCCTCCTCCCCTCCTCCTCCTCCTCTCCTCCTCCTCCTCCTCCTCTCCTCCTCCCCCCTCCCTTCCCCCCTCCTCCTCCTCCTCCTCCTCCTCCTCCTCCTCCTTCTCTTCCTCTCCTCCTCCTCCTCACCCTCCTCCTCCCCTCCTCCTCCTCCTCCTCCTCTTCCTCCTCCTCCTCATTTTCCTTCTCCTCCTCCCCTTCCTCCTCCTCCTCCTCCTCATCATCATCTTCCTCCTCCTCCTCCCCCTCCTCCTCCGCCTCCTCCTCCTCGTCCTCCTCCTCCTCCTCCCTCCTCCTTCCTCCGTCCTCCTTCCTCTTTTCTCCTCCTTCCTCCTTCCTCCTTCCTCCTTCCTCCCTCCTCCCTCCTCCCTCCTCCCTCCTCCTCCTCCTCCTCCCTCCTCCCTCCTCTCTCCTTCCTCCTTCCTCCTGCCTCTTTTCTCCTCCTTCCTCCTTCCTCCTTCCTCCTTCCTCCTTCCTCCTTCCTCCCTCCTCCTCCTCCCTCCTCCCTCCTCCCTCCTCCCCTCCTCCCTCCTCCTCCCTCCTCCCTCCTCCCTCCTCCTCCTCCGTCCTCCCTCCTCTCTCCTCCCGCCTCATTTTTCCCTCCTCCCGCCTCCCGCCTCCCCCCCCCCTCCCCCTCCCCCCCCCCCCTCCCCCTCCCCCTCCCACTCCCCCTCCCCCTCCCCCTCCTCCTTCCCCTTCTCCCCCCTCCTCTCTCCTCCTTGGCCAGGATCGGGGCATTTGCGCATCCTTCTCGTCGCGTCGAAGGAGGTCCAAGGAACCCGCGCTGCGACAACATCTGCCGCACGGCGGCAAACGGGTGTTCAGCGACGTCCGTCATTCGTGGAATCCGTCCTCGTTGAATGATGTGTTGTCGTCGGGGCACGCGGGCGGGCATCCGTGGTATGCTTCTGGCCTCATGTCATCCAGCCCCGAACGCTCGGGAGCTCGACGTGAATGCGCCTTGCGCGATCGTTTACAGTGGCAATAGGCTGCATCAAGCTCTCTTCAGGCTGGGGGTGAGGATTGCGACGGCGACGGGCAAAGGGAGGCGGGAGGAACAGGGACGTGGAAGGGGAGATGGGGGAGGAAGGCAAACCGCGGAACACGGAGGATGGCAATGATGATGACGACGATGATGGTGACGGTGATGGGTGATGACGATTATGATCTTGATTTGGATAGCGATTATGAGTACAATGATGATGGTGACGATGATGATGATGATGATGATGATGATGATGATGATGATGATGATGATGATGATGATGATGATGATGATGATGACGAGGCTGATGCTGCTGATGCTGCTGGTGATAGTGGTGATAATGATGGTGATGATGATGGTGATGATGAGCCTGCTGACGATGCTGCTGCTGATTATGATGATTCTGGTAGTGATGGTGATGATGAGCCTGCTGACGATGACGATGGTGACGATGGTGATCATGGTGATGTCCATGATGATTGTTATGATGATGCTGTGATGACCACAATGACAATGACAAGGGCAATGACAATGCTGCTGATGACGACGATGAAGATGGTGATGATGACTATTAGCATGATGACGATGACGATGATCAACATCATCATCATCATCATCATCATCATCATCATCATCATCATCATCATCATCATCATCATCGCCGAGGAGGATGAGCAAGACGAGGAGGACAATGATGATGACGACGACGTGGGCGACGACGAGGATCAATAGGATGAAAAAGAACACATTCGGGCTGCTGAACAAAAAAAAACGAGACGTAGAGAACGACATTGTTTTGTCTAACCCGAGACGTGAAATCCGAAGGTAGGGCAGTAACACCCCAAGGAACACCTGAGCGGCTCGCCACCAAAGAAGCAACGGAGCACATGCAAATCTAAGGAACTTCCGAGCCCCATTTCAACAAGCTGACTGCAGCAGGGCAAGCACGAGGAGGACAGGGACGCGCCAATCGAACGAGGAGGGCACGCACAACCCCTGACCTCTTGCTGGCCAGTGGCTGAGCACCGGCCATCAAGAGGTGAGGAGGAGGGAGGGAGTGAGGGAGGAGGAGGAGGAGGAGGAGGAGGAGGAGGAGGAGGAGGAGGAGGAGGAGGAGGAGGAGGAGGAGGAGGAGGAGGAGGCGGAGGAGGAGGAGGAGGAGGAGGAGGAGGAGGAGGAGGAGGAGGAGGAGGAGGAGGAGGAGGAGAGGAGGAGGAGGAGGAGGAGGAGGGGAGGGAGGAGGAGGGGGGGCAGGAGCGGGCGAGGAGCGGGCGCGCCGCCGGGCCTCGCGCCCACCACGCTGCGGCGCGACGCGCCGGCCGCGTCCCCTATCGGGAGCGGCAGCGGCCGTCGGCCGGGCAGGCTCCCCCCCTCTGAGGGGGCCCTGGGACACACAGGTCAGTGGCCACAAAAAGATATGTGCCCACGTTTTCTGGGTGCTTGCCTTCCCCCGCACTGCCCATCTGTTTTCCCCCATCTTCTGGGGAATCGACGATTCATTTTGTGTCTGTGTCCGTTTTTGTTCCCTCCGGACCCTCCCCCTGGTGACGTCACGGCTCGCGCGTGGGCGCCGCTGGGCCGTGGCCGGTGACGGGGAGCTCTCAGACGGCGCCCGCGCGCGCGTCGTGGCGGTTCGTTCGGCCCCCGTCGCACCCCGCCCTCGGCCCCGCCCCCCCCTGGGAACGGCCGCGATGGCAAGGGAGGAAGAAGAAGACGACGAGCCCCAGTCCCCGAGCCACGGCGCCCTGGGCCCAGCCGTCACCGTGTCCATCGGTGCTTCCGCACCGCAGAACGCATCCCTGGAATCGGCGGCGACGATAAGGGCGAACAGCCCAGGCGCAGGCATTACACGTATTCGCCCGGAAGCCTTTTCGAAGACATCGATCATTGGCGCACCTGAATGCTCTCCCCTGGGCTATTCGCCCCTATCGTCGCCTCTGGTGGAACACCTTCGCTGGCGTCGCCGGCGCGCCACCGCCGCGCGAACCTACCGAAAATCTCGGGGGGGGGGGGGGCACATCGTCTGCGTCCGCCGGCTTCCGCAAGCAGAGGAGACCACGCGTCCCTCTCGCCGCCTGCCGCCGAGAGAAAGAGGTGTCAACTTCTTCGACTCGCGGAAGGGCGAGGACCTCTCTGGAGCGCGCCGTGTGCGCGAGGCCAGGGAGAGCAACCGGGCCTTCACGATGTCGTGCTCCGTCTTCGCTAGCATCGCCTTCCTCTCCTTGATCTCATCCTTGGCCGCAAGAGAAGGAAGGGGCCCATGAGGGAGGAGGTGGAAGGGGGGGAGGAAAACATAATACTTCTACTTCGCGCGCGCGGGGCGGCCCCTGGGGGTCCCCGGACGAAAAGTACCCTGGGCGATCCCCGGCAGACTCGGGTCAGAGATGGTTTCCCTCCTGGGCGCCGCCCCCGTGGCCCTCCAGAGAGCCCCAAGAAGGGCCACGAGGCCGCCAAGAGCCCTCCAAGATGGTTCAAGAGTGCTCCGAGATGCCACACGATCGTTCCAAGACGCCCAAGATGGCCCCCAGACGCCCCAAGAGGCCTCCAAGAGCACTCCCCAGAGGGCCCCAAGAGGCAAAATTCATTACTTTTCCTTAGGTTTTGGGCAGATTTTGGCGTGTCCATCTTTTCGGCTTCCCGACGCCCCAAGACGGCCCAAGAGGCCCCCAAGATCGCCCCAAGAGGGCCCAAGAAGCTCCCAAGAAGGCCCCAAGATGGCCCAAGAGGGCTCCAAGACGGCCCCAGAGGCATCCAAGACGGCCTAAGAGGGGCCCAAGAGGGCCCCAAGCGATGCCCCAAAGGGGGAACACAAAACAAAACTTCGAGCCCTCGGCCTTCAGAAGCCCCCAGGAAGCCTCAAGAGGCCCCTGAGAGGGCCCAAAAGCCCTCAAGAGGCCCTCAGGAGGCCGGCCCCGAAGCGACGCTGAAGAGGCCTCCCAGCGGCCCCAAGAGGCTCAGTCATGCGAAGTGGGCCGGCGGAGTGAGCGAAGCGATTCAATAAATACACACAAATAGCCGGGTTCTTCATAGTTTCCCATCATATTCCGGGTTTTTGTCTTCCCCCCTCTTCCCATATTTTCCCATGTGATGTCTAATCGACGAGTATTTGTGTTTGCGTGGTTTTTCCATTCCTGCATACTGCCTATACGACCGCCCTGCGAGCGATGAGGAGGTTGGGGGGGGATTGGGATAAGATGGGCTGGAGTGGAAGGAATGGATTGGATAAGATAAGATGGATTGGATTGGCCCGCCGCAGGCGCAAAAACAAATGAATTGATGCATTGGGTTGGGTGGATTGGATTGGGTGGGAAAAGATAAGATGGGACAAAAAGGGTTGGATCAGATAAGATGGATTGGATTGGACAATATGGATTGGATAATATAAGCTGGATTGGATAAGAAAGCCCACCGCAGGCGCCGGCAAACATGAATTATGAAATTAGCGACGTGCGTTAGCGCCGGGACGCCCGGGACACCCGGGACACCCAGGACACCGCCCAGCCCAACTGGAACACCTCCCGGCCACCGGCGGACAGGAAATGGACTTTCGTTCCTACTGACACCCAAGACACCGCCCGGCCCAACTGGGACACCTCCCAGCCACCGCGGCGGACGGGAACGGACTTTCGCTCTTACTTCGGCCTAACTTCAGGAGGATCACGCGCAGCTTCGCCTCGCCCGCACGCGCGACACGAACACGAAACCGAAACCGACTTCCCGGTGGGGGGTCTCCGTTCCACTGCGATCTCACCCCACACCCTCCGATTGTACAGCAGTGGCCCTGTATATGTGCAGCAAACACCAGCAACGCAATCATAACACTCGATCCCCCCAGCGTTTCGGGGGCAGGGAACGGAGAACATAGCCGCCACGCCTGCCATCGGGCCAGGCCTGTCCAACTTTAGGATACAGGCCCGGGCACAACCGGTTCAAAAGCATGGCCCCGTGGTCCCGCTATATAGGCAGGGTGGCACCGCGCCCGCCAGCTGGATTAACCCCCTCCTGAATACGGCCCCTCCCGCCCATCCCTGCCCAAGGCGCTGATTCTTCTCTACCCGCGGGCGCGAGTCGTGGCGGACCTGGGACTCGGCAAATATCACCAGGTGTGCGGGGGGGAAATCGGAAAGGGGGGAGCTGAGCAGGAGGAAGAGGAGGAGGACGAAGGAGGTGGTGGTGGACGATGACGAACAGCAGAAGTGGGGGCTGGAGTGGAAGGAGCGGGAGGAGCAGGAGGACCAGGGGGAGGGGGAGGAAGGGGAGACGAGGGGCGACAACGATGAGGAAGGACTCGGGCCCAGAAGTGCGGCCCATGCTGAACGATGGGTGCAAAGCGCCGATCCGAAAATGAGGCCCACGCTGCAGCGGGAACGCCATTCTGAAGCACCGACAACAATGGGATTGCAAAACATCATAAGACAAGTCGCATGTGTACAATGTGGTGTAGAAACCAATTACCCCAGTGCCACCCTACCTAGAAGTTGAAGCCCCTAGGAAAGCAGCATTAGTTGCTATGCTATGCTATGCCATGCTATGCTGCGCTATGCTATGCTATGTTATTCTATGCTATGCTGCGCTATGCTATGCTGTGCTATGTCATGCTGCGCGGTGCTATGCTAAGCAATGCTATGCTATGTTAAGCTGCGCTCTGCTATGTCATGCTGGGTTGTGCAGCACCA